GACCTGCTAATAGCCGTCAGCAAACCAAAGAGAGGGAAACAAAGACCGGTCCTCACGTCACTGGGCAGGTCATACATGTGCTTCCAAGTGCTTGCTAAACAGTCACTGAGTGCATATACACAGCTTCATTGTGTCCAAGATCGGATGAGTACCTCCAAGTCTTCACTCACAAAGAAAATACTTTTCCTGGCAGCAGTACACTTTGATTTTAGTTTCCAGATAAGACCATCTTTCAACTTATAATTAGTGGAGAACTACAGAAGAGTTTTCAATAATTCAACAACTACTCCACAACTTATCCTTAAATGAAAAGGTTTATTTCGAACATTATGAGACGGATAGTATTCCTCGTTTTCAGACTACACTGTCTCAAAAGACCTTGAACAACTGTTCCTAGAGAACGGCAACATTTCAGGAAAGTCCAGTTCCGAGTGAACTTGACTTCTCAAAGAAGACCACAGTTGACCGAGGACACACTGGGACAGAAACATCTCCAAATAAATCTATTTAGTTTTGTATTTGAAATAACACAGAATATTTTGAGAGGGAAGAAATTAATGTTATCATTAAGAAGCCCAGAGATAACACAATCATTCTACATTGTTCCATTACGAAGAACAGACAAGCAAAAAAGTGATTAAAACGGAGGAAACGTTAATAATAACAACTGCATTAACAAACTAATCCAACTTCTTAGAGTCAATACAAGCACGGAATAACTCAGAGGCTTAACTCAAAGCTTTGAAGAAAGGAAAGTGCAAAGAAAGTCCTACTTAGCAACTTTTACCTTTCTTTTTATAAGACGTGACTGCTGTCCCGATTACAAAAACAGGATGATGAATTACACTACCTTAAATACCCTAAAGCAGGGGTGTCAAACTCAAGGCCCGGGGGCCAAATCCGGCCCGCAACTTCATTTTATGTGGCCCGCAAGAGCTTGCAAAGAATATAATACGTTTATTATACGGTTACATGCCACTTTACAGTATATCTATATATGTTCGTTTTAATTAATTTCTTATTTTATAGTTATTTATCTTCTTTTTTTTTTATCTTTGATTTATCCATAATTTTATTAATCTGTGTGAATCTGTGCTGTCCTGTTTTTCAATCGTACCGTGTTGCTGTTAAACTACTAAATTTCCCCACGGGGATTAATAAAGGTCCATCTTATCTTATCTTATCTTACAGCATGTTGCCCATAAACTACATGTCCCACAATGCATCTCATTTTGTGACATGCGCACTGAAGACTTGCAATTATTTGCCCTAGACTTCTGCTTTCAGACATAGTTAATTATGAAGTTATTACCCTATCCAATAAAAATCCAATGCAGAGGCAATAATATAATATAATACATTATTTCATATATATTATGTATTTATATATGTATATTTATATAGTTACAACTGGCCCTTTGAGTGCAACCATAATGCTAATGTGGCCCACGATGAAATTGAGTTTGACACCCCTGCCCTAAAGCAATAGGCGAAAATGCTTCAAAATGCTTTTATCTGACCCAGTGTACTACAATGCGAGTTGCATGAAGGTGGAAAAGACTTGTTTACAGCCATGTCAGTGCACAATCAAGGGTATTGACTGCATAAATAATAGACATTGAAAATGTGTCACTCTAAAGTAGGCAGCATAAATCACACAGCTTTAAATGATTCTGATGAATTCGCTGCTGGACTGGTAGCTTGGAAATGTTCGACTAGATTTCCCCTGGTGTGAGCAACAAATAAGTTCCGGTTTTCCAATTTAATTTATTATGTGCTGACAGTGCTTTCTGGAGTTATAACCTGGAAGGATCTATAATTTGTTTCCCTCTCTGATCTATGATTTGTTTCAAGGCCTACTGGGCAGCACTGGTGGCATGAATACAACTGCTGTCTCCACTTTATTTTCTAAAGCAGCAACAACAATAAATTATTTCCTGGATTCACTGAAGACATCAAATGAGTTATCACACTAGAAATATTGACGCGCAGAAATGATAATGAGGTAAAAATGTGACCTTTAACATACTTATTATCCATAGATCTTTATTGAGAAAAAAGCCAGTGTGGACAAAAAGCATTTATGACCTTACAGATGTGATGAAAGCTCTTACATCACACACTACCCTCTATGTTTTTTTGTGGGACTTGGCAATTGTTCAATGAAGCAACGACTGCAACTGTTCAAGGACAATGAACACCTCAATTAAAAATCCCACGGTCTGTTAACTCACTCCATCTATCTTCCTCTTCTCACACAAATATGAGAGAGCCGGCGTTATTGTTGTCAAACTCCATTTGTAATCATCTGCAGCACAGACTTCCAGATAAGTCGATATGGTGTGTGTATAGAGAAATGGATCCACTTAAGCGGAGATTGTCTAATGAATGACTGATGGGTTTGGGAACTGTAAGCGTGTACGCCTGTCGCATGATTACGTAATTATGGTTACTTTAGCCGACAACAATTATTTGCATAATTGTTAGCTACTGAGTTTAAAGCCATTAATACAAATGTTGCATCAAATATACATTGAATAAGGTGCATTTCCATCAGCTTGGTATATAAACAACGTTTATATGTGATGAAAGAGAAGGAAACAAAGAGCTGGTGAGAAATGTTTCTGCTCAGATGAGACCAGATTTGTTGCTTTCCAGAGACCGATGATAACAGAGATGTCTCCTGATGTATAATGTATGGGTGCATCAGTGCATTTGACAGCACTGGGGAAAGTTATCCTGGAGTTGTTGCTTCTATCTAGATTTTGTAATTCACATAAAAATATTAGAATGAAACATGGTGTGATAATAAAAGTGTGGGATATTATAACAACATATTCAGTGTGTGATGAGAGAGGGATGTTCGATGCGAGAGAAGACATTACCGAGGCGATTACTTACTACTGCTGTACTGGTACAAGTATACGATTAAGGTTATATATAAATTAATGCGGCAGCTCCACAAGACAATACTTAACTGTCTTGAACTACTTTTTTGTTAAATTAGGTTGGCCTACATAAGAAGAACAACTTGTCGTAAATAAATCCGTCGAGGGGTAAAACATTGTTTCAGCTAATTAATTGGAGATTAGTAAATACTATTTTGCCAACGATCACATCATTTTGATGAGCAGATATTTACATTTACAACAGGTTGAGTTGCAAAGCCAAACACGCTAACAGAAAAGTAACAATACATTGGTTCACAATCATTTGTGTTTCTCTATTTTAGATCGTTGAGGTTGTACGCAATCCTTTATACACCAACGTCATCGTTTGATAGGCTGATAGCTGATTGGCTCTTCTAACAAACGTCATGCTTTCCAAAGACTGAGAGTCAGTTACTCTGTTATTTAATTTGTGTTATCCTTAGTGTCATAAAATAGCAACCAAGCCCCAAAAAGAATGTTTCTCTAACTCACCATATGTTCAGTAATTGGGTTTTACTCCGCAGGGAAATATGTCCAGCCATGTATTTAACATGATCAATCATTTAAAAGGACTGACAATATTGTACCCAAACAAGTAGCGCAGTATAAAGCAATGCCACATTTGTTAAATAACCAAAACCTCTGAGGACAGTAAATGAAGTTACGACTGAATAATGATCATCTTTTCGCCACTGTATAGTTAGTTTAATAGGTTTATTTTTCCGCTACTTCCCCCCCCACCCCCTTAACCTGTCTGCCTTTTTTCCCCTACTCCCCCCCCCCTACCCGACTTGTAAAGCGACCTTGGGTTTCCTGAAAGGCGCTATAAAAATATTATATATTATTATTATTATTATTATCAAGTGGGAATTGCAATGTGACCCAAACGACCTGCTGGTAGCTATAGAAACTACTCCTCTGGGTAGACACAATAGATGGATTTCTCCACACATGCTGTATTTACTGGTGTGATTGAAAAGCTGAAGCCACCTACTCCTTGAATAGCTGCCTCCCATCCTCCCCTCACGTTCTCTGTCACTAAGCTCAAGGAGAAAGTGGAAGTAGGCATTGGTTGTATGGAAATACCCTCTGGAAACACCCCTTTTTGTAAATCCATGTGGGTTTTTTCCAGTACTGTATACAACAATTAGGAAGGAGCCAAAGCTAGAAAGAAATCTCCCATGTTGGAATTCATTGGCATCTTCATGTAGCACCTCTCTGTGGCTCAGCATCCCCTCACAAATGCAGCGTGCTAATCAACAACTTACCCAACAGCTCAGTTCATGCAAGACTGAATCAGGAGCAATGGAAGGTAAAGGTGTCAATGTTTGCTACACGTGTTGGCACATCATCTATAGAGCTATACAAAATCAAGAAAAGGCAAATGATCAGGTCCAAGGATAAGCAGCCTTATCGACATATGAAACCAGTAATGCGAGCCAGATATCAGTGCATGCTACTGCTGCTAACCTTTATCCTGTATTGAACTCATGGAGTAATCTGCTGGTAATCCACTATAATACCAGATTTAATCTTGTTAATACTCTATCTGTCTTGTTGGAAAGGCTCTTTGCTGTGTGTGCGCTGAACAAAAAAGGGAAACCAACATCAAGTAGGCTTTGAAGGATGATCCAGGTGCAGAAATAGTGATGAATAATGCTGCATGGGCACAAAGCATGCAACAACTTTCGTGTCATTTCAGGAGGATTCAGCATTAATGTGCAAAACACGTGATGAATGTAAGACTCGGCTAACAGACCCAAAGAGTATGTAAATGCTTAAATACTTTTTTAAGTAATGATATACTATTAACAACCAAAAACTGCGCAAGAATACTTCATTGTTGTGTTTTCACGTATGTCAACACACATATTGTGATAATTTAACTCTGGAATTCATCACCATAAGTATCAAAGTGTCCCAACACAGACCAAATGTTAACTTTTTACAGTAATAAGCCGTCTTTACCAAAATGTAAATTAAGTGGAGGACTTTCACCGAACACAAAAAGCAGATTAAAGCGAATACAGGGGTATAAATCATCCTCTCAAAGTGCAGCAGGAGTCTTACCGGTGTTGAGCGTCCCTGTGACGAGTCTGTACAGGTACTGTGCGAACTTGAAGATCTCCCGCTTGCACCTTTTCCTGCAGCTCATCTTTGCTCCTTGGAAGGGGCGGCAGGGGGTGGGGGGGCTTGGAAAAGGTCAGCACTAAAGGTGGACTCGGGGTAAAAAAGAAAAGAAAAAAAGAAGCAATCCAAGAAAGAGTTTTACTTTGATAAAGTCCAGCGTCCTCTTCTGTCCTCCACTCGTGAGGGGGGGTCAGCGTGGCCCTTGTGTCTCTGTGTGGCGGGAGAGATGATCATGAGTGAGGGGAGATCTGTGTGTGTGTGTGTGTGTGTGTGTGTGTGTGTGTGTGTGTGTGTGTGTGTGTGTGTGTGTGTGTGTGTGTGTGTGTGTGTGTGTGTGTGTGTGTGTGTGTGTGTGTGTGGTGTGTGTGTGTGTGTGTGTGTGTGTGTGTGTGTGTGTGTGTGTGTCTATGTGTGTGTGGCTATGTGTGTGTGTCTATGTGTGTGTGGCTATGTGTGTGTCCTGGCTCCAGGGTAAGGCCGTCTGATGTTGTGAGCTTTTTCTGTCAGGTCATTAATATTTGCTTACCGGCGGATTGCCTCCTCTGGCAGGTTGTTATTTTTTCCTTCCACTCACTCTTTCTCTTCAGACTTTTCTAGCAACTCTTCAGAGCTAAACACGCTCCCCCTCCTCTCCCACTGTGTTCCCCGAGAGAACTCTTCACAACACAGAGGTGCTCCAATGAGTGGGCCTCTCTCAGACACACAAACAAACACACACTCCTACATTTGATCTCGTAGTGTGCCTGCTGCTCGCTCTACTCAGCACCATCTGTGGATGTTTTACACTCACTGACGGTTGCCATGGAGGTGTGGCCTGATTGGCCAGAGAGTAGGAGGAGGAGGAGAATGAGGAGGAAGAGAGGGGGGATATACAGCTCACAAGGAAGAGGAGGAAGAGGAGGAGGAGGAGGGAAATAAAAGGAGAATTAAGGGAAAAGTGTCCACCAATGAATCTGCAATGACAGTACATGATGGGCCTGCCGCATCATGAAGGTTAAAAGCGTGATTGACAGTAATCGATGATGTTTATGGTGCATCAAGGGCTCTTCAGAGGGAAAGGGAGTGACAATTACACTGTACAAATGTAAACAAAAAGTCTAGAGCAAAAGCTAAGGTTTGTGAGATTTCCTTCGACCAAATGTCAAGGTCAGCGCTAATAATGAGTGACAGCGTCCGTCAATGATGACATTAAGTCCATCCGTGAGCATCATCTTCTTCACTAATTACCCACACTGTACCCCGATCGCACTCATCTATCAATGCCAGGCGCTCCCATCTGAAACACCCGTCATTAACTCAAACCTTTCACTGGCTGCACTCGAAATACTGCAGTGAATTCTGCTTAAGAAAACACTGATTTGTTCACATTTTCTCATTAGTACACGTCCATCAGGCGGAGAGACAGGTATGGTAGGAGAGAGTTGATGTTCCACAGGTTACTGAAAGAACGGCAGGTCTATTACTGTGAATGCTGCCGTGCAGACTCTGACCTTGGTGTCTGCACACACACACACACACACACACAAGTTCTGAAGAGTGAGGGGATGGTTTTACAGGCAGTAGGAAAAAAGGTTTCAAGGACTTGTGTGATACTTGTCACTGGGTCAAAGCAGCACAGAAAACTAGTACAGTGTCTGAATCAGGTGAATCATTTAAAAAGGTACCTGTGGGGTGCAGCAGTGCCTGTTTTTGACATGATATGCTTCCATATACTTTGGCAGAGGATATAACAAACATTTTAATAGACAGTGGCTTTTAAAATGATGTAGCTGCATTTTTTATTGAGCACAAGCCAACTATAAAGATTAACTAACTTCATGAGCTTGTTAAAAGAACCAGTCGACTTTTGAGCAAAAGGGTCTTAAATATGGCATCGCTCCATGCTCACTGCTTTGGTTGTACACTACTGTGTTTAGATGCCAAGCAATGATTGGTCAATTGCTGTTAAAGAGAGGGGCTTAACAAAATAACCACCACCAAGTTATTTTTACCGCTTGGTTCATTACTTTTTATGAAATGGATTTATAAAACATCTCGTGAATAATGGCATGCCTTGGATGAAAAGAAAAAAAGAAATGGTTATTTATACCTCAAACCCTCGAGGGTCATTTTACCCCCGTTATAAAAAAACGCTGAATAATGTAACATCTGTAACAACAAAAGTTTCATAGTAGCTTTCTATTAAAATACATTTTTCAACACACCTTAACCTCTTAAGGCCACCGTCTTTGCTCGAGAATGCTTTACTAAATAGGTAGGCCTGTTTCTGTGCATACATTGCTTGAAGACTTGCATTATGTCTATATATTGCAGGCCCCGCCCACCCACTGACCCCCTGAGAACACTTAACTTCGACATGTGTGCAACTCCATCAGCTGTCACCAAGCCCCTGGTTTCCATTTCCATCCAAGTTTCCGATAAACAAACACACCCCTGAAGAAATTTCAGTGGAAGCAGCTATCTGTGGTCAACACTGTCCATGATACACAGAGTTCAACCAGCCTCCTCTCCTTCTCTGAGGTGAACAGATGGTTGGCTGCACACATGAGCGGTTAGCAAACCAACACTGACTAAAGTCTGTCAGTGAACTGGCCAAAGTCACATTTTTCCTGCAAGCTTGTGCTCTCAGCACCTCTCCACCCCTGTTGAGTGTGAAGAAAAACAAATCCCCACATTCCAGTTCCATATACAGTCGGGAGATCTGTCAACCTCAGTCATGTTTATCTTAATGAGTAAGGTCAGGGCAAAACAAAAGGTTATGTGGTGACGCAAACACAAATCTTGTGGGATGCGCTAAGGTTTTAAGACAAAAAAAATGTGAACAGTGAAGGCACATACAGAACTACTAAAAAACGAATTGTACAATGTATATACATTTAGAAAGAGGTTATGTTTTCAATTAGTTTCTTTGGTTTGGTTTTTTGTCAGTAGCATTACGGGAAACTAGAGGCCCGTTTTAAATGACATTTGGTAGAAGGGTTTAGCATTGGCCAAGAAAAAAATCTATTAAATATTGGAGGGGAAAATCACAGGGCCTTACCTATGGAAACACTGAATGATTTGACAAATCACCCCCAAAAACTTCTGAAAGGGTTAAGCTGGTGAAGTGTGGACTCATGTCATCTCTACTGCTGCAGAGAGGAGGCTCAGATCAAAGCAGTGCACCATCAATTACACCATATATAATATTTACAATGTAGATTTGGCCTTAAAACCTCTCATCCAGAGTTTAAAGTTCTCAGAGACACTCTTCTTTCTTTGCAGACGTTCATGGAACATGAGCTTTTCCATGTTGCTCCCTCCAGCCATGACAGACGCGACATGAAATAGGCTCCACTCAGCGAGACGTTGACAGATTTATTGATCCATCAAGAAAACAGTAACTGCAGGTGCCCGGGGGCCGAGAGCCACCATTAACAGGGAGAGATTTCCCCCCCCGCCCCACTTGTCGTGAAAGCAGCTTGATCGGCTGTAAACTGCAGAGAGCAGTTCGTCACCAAATATCGGGGCCACAATTTACTACCACAGACTTCCCTCAGCTAAATGAATGCATGCTGAACAGCAGCGAAATGTCTGCAGTTTAATAAACAAGCTGAAAAATAGAAATGAACACAGACTCTACTGTAACGCATGTGGAGAGAGACAGATGAATCTTTGAAATGGAGTGCACGGTACATCTCCATCAGGCAGGTCAGAGAGTGGGAGCTTCGGGGGGAAAGTGGCCACTAGATTGAACATCAAGAGCTGCGCTACAATCCATAAAGCAGCCGTCTCTAGTGGAGTGTGCTCACCCTGCTTGACAATATCCAGGAAAAAGTTCATAAAGTGGAGCAGGACGCTGTCTGCTGTCATCTGGCCTTCCAAAGCCCACCCTCACACGTCAGCGTCATACTAAACGGATACAAAATGAACTGCGGGAAATGGCGTCCTGCCTCGCTTTCGTGATGTGATCAAAAGGAAAGTCAATAAATGCAAGGAAATATGGGACACGTTCATGCATTTCCTTGAGAGTGATCAAGTGGAAATTGATGAGTGAAATTGATGAATATCGCTATCAAACACTGATAAAAGACTAATAATAATAATGCTGCTTATACTGTAATAATAATAATAATAATAATAATAATAACTATCTCTAAATATAGAAACAAGTTATTCTTTCATATTTTATTTTATTTTATTATTGTTTCACATCCTTTACTTTATCTGATTGTATTTACTCCCGTTTCATTTTAATCTTCCCTGAATGTTCGATGTTGAGGGTGGGGGGTGGGGGTGGAGGGAGGGGAGTGTTATTTTCCCATGTGTTAATGTATGTATGTGTGACTGTATGTTCTTTCTATGTTACAAAAGGAGGCATGTGGTGTGTGGCGCAGTGGGCTATTGCGTTGGTGTGGGATCAGGGGGGGCACAGGTTCAAACCCCACTGCAGTCAGCATGTCGTTGTGTCCCTGAGACACTTCACCCCAAATTGCTCCTGTGGGGATTGTCCACAGTATTGAGTATGTAAGTCACTTTGGATAAAAGCGTCTAACAAGTGACATGTAATGTAATGTAACAAACCCAATACATATAATGCTTAAAAAAAATGGATACAAAGTTACCTCTCAATGTGTTTGTTTTCAGATTTTTCGCAACTCAAGTAGTATTGAGTGGAAGTGCTGTCAGGTTGTAACGTTTTATTCACTCATTTGATCATCTTCTATCTACTTGTTGTGAATTATTAAATGTTTTATTTTAAGGGATATCGATTGCACTTTATTAATTTTTCTATCAAATAACACTTCTGATATTTGCTCCATGGCAGGAGCAGACATGAGAAATGAGCGAAGCGATCAAACTGTTGTTCACATCAAATACCCGACAAGAAAACTCATTAACAGCTACAGAAGGCTTTTCAGAGCCTGCAGCAAGGTATCTGCAGGATCATTACACAATCACAGAGTGTACCTGAAGACATCCCAGCATGCACCGAGAGAGAGATATCTGCAGTATCAAGAGGATTGGTTTTCTGTTCTTGTGAGTTTAGGTCTAGAAAAATGTAAAGAAAATCTAAAAGAACCAAAAAAACGTCCATATGTTAATGTGTAGATTGTATTATCCTGTAAAAGTGCAACCCATCACTCAATCAAAATGACTGACAGTTCATTTTCTGATTTACCATCAAACTTCCACAAATTGCCACAGTGTTGTATTCCTAAGCCAATGTGCAAATGAGCGTCAGTCCAACAACCAAGCACAACTGTCGCCTTGATAAAAAAAGAAAATGTTAGTTGAAACAAAAGCTTCTTCATTTCTGGAAATAGTGCCAAGTTCATAGAAAGCTGTGAGGGGAATATAACTGCAGTTCGAGTTCTGTTTATCATTTATATGTGAGAATAAATCCTCAGAGACTGCTGCATAAACATAACTGTACCAATAACTGGAAACAGTAGATATACTGGAGAATAAGGGTTGTGTTTTCAATTTCAAATAGAACAGTTAAGTCCGGGCTCTCGGCCCAGAATTGCTTACTGAATATAAAATGTCATAAGCCTCAAAGATGGGAAGGTGCTGATATGACGCATCATTGCAGAGCATGCACAATGACAGTGAAATGGGACACAGCAGAGAGGGCAGACAGTAATTAAACAACAAAATAAATAGAAATCGTGGACGATGGACAGAATGAGCTTTCACAATGATCTCTAAATCCATATCACTTCAACAGTAAGGCGGTAAAAGCTCCATCATCGGCAG